CCTCAGGCACCCCCGTCCTGCCGGTGGGCCCATGTCTGTATTGGCAACGCGTTAGCCCTTGCCCTGGGGGTGGCTCCAGCCATGGGGGACTCCAGCGAGCACGTGGGACTCCGGAATGTCCTGCAGCAGACCTGCACCTTCAGGGTCCCGGGGACTGACACCAAGTCTGGGGGACACGGACCGCCCCAGAACCCGGACGCTGAAGCTCACCTGAGGGCCGACCACTCCTGGAGGGCCTGGAGGGCCAGTCTTGCCTTGGAAGCCCTGTCAAGAGAGAGCCAGCCCTGAGGTCACCGAAGGGGCCCAAGACACTGCCCACTGCCATCCCGCAACAGAAGGCTCGCCCGGCCCCCGCCAGCCCACCGCGGCCCTGTGCGGGAGGCCCAGACCCCGCTGGCGAGCGCCTGCCTCCCTCTGCTTCCCGATTTCGTTTCACTCCCTCTCATAAAGGTAATGAGGCCAGGCGCGGCAGTGCCACCCTGCCCCCAGCAGGGCGTTAGTGCTGAGACAGACTTCAGAGCTGAGCTGTCCCGTGTCACTAAGGGCCCCTTCCGGCGCCATTTCTAAGCTCAGGCGCAGGCTCTGGGCTGCTCTCATTAAAGGCTCTGTGGGGACTTCAAGCTTTTGCCGCGAACGCCTCTGACGCACTGCAGGTGAGCGCCAGCACGCTCCTCGGAGCTCATTCGGAACAGCCAAGAGTGAGGTCTCGCTGTGTCTGCCATCCAGTCACTGGGCCGGGAGGCTCCCTGCGCTCTGTACCCCCAGGCACCGGTGACCACCCAGGTGTGGGTTCTCTGTGCTCTCCTTCACAGGAGAAGACGCACCTCAGGCTTGTACATCTGCAGGGCATGGTGGGTGCCCACGACACTGGCAGGGACACGGGGATGTCCCGCCCGGGCCAGGGCAGCAGGGTGGGCAGACTTGCCACCGGGCTTGCTGCGGGGACAGCTGGCAGGCAAGGCTCTGAGATCCCACGCTAGGACACGGGGCCCCGAACCCATGGCAGACCCAGCTTCCCTGCAGATTTTGGGAGGGCTGTAAGCCCAGCTGAGCTCATGTAAGGCACTAAAACCACATTTTATGTTTTATATTTAAAGACAGGGTCTCGCTCTGTGCTCAGCCACCCCGAGCTGTGCACATGCACTACCACACCAGCCATCAGGTCGGACCAGGAACCGAACCCAGGCCTCCACGCTGCCCCAGCCTGCGAAGCATGGCATCCCAGCCACACACATCACTGTGGCTAGCATTTTCTGTCACTTCTGCTGCAGTTTTCTCTGCAGATGGCACTTAAGGGGTCAGAAACAAGGTGTGGGAGACGGGGGCCAGGGACCGAGACATGCCCCTCTCTGTAAATGGCCCACGTTCAAAGGCAGAAAGTCCACAGCCAGGGGACTTGCCCTCAGCCGCTTGCCAAGGGACTGGCTTTCAGCTCACACCTGGGAGAGGCCATGGGGACTCATGTTTTCATTCTCAAAAGAAAAAACAAAGTTGACCCGACGGTGTGCCTGGCCCACCCAGGGAGGGACTCCATGTCCTGGTGCACCCCGGGGGCGGGAGCTCCTCTGGCACCGTACAGCACCCCATGGCTCAGCTGCAGCCGGGTGTGACAAGGTAGCTGGAGTTACTGAAAGCAAAGACGGCGGGCGGCTTAACTGCTTTGCCAGCCCTTTTCTCGAACAAGGCGGAGGCAGAAAAGCACACGATATGCAAAACCCTCTATCTTGTCTCCTTGGGAAGGCATTAGAGAAATACGCAGTGCTCAGAAAAGGTTCCCATTTTTCTCTATAAACAAAAGAGCAGGATAATCTCCAGTTATCAGCCAGCTTCTGCGCAGAGCACCGGGGAAGGTATAATTAACAGAGGCTTCATCACGACCAACCGAAGTCAGACAAAAGAGGTTTCTGTAAAAACCTGCACCATGAATGTATCAAGCACAGCTTTTGAAAACCACTGCGTGAGGGGCTGCCTTTGGTGGGAGGGTATCTGATGGCCTCAGCCACAAGACTGGCTGCAGAGACAGAGAAGCCGGTCCGTGCGCCCCACCCGCCTTGCTGAGACATGCTTAAATCCTTGTGACCGTCCTCGAAGCCAACAAAGCAGGTGTACACAGAGAGGGGGTGTGCACGGAGACTCGGCAGTCACAGACCTGCGAGGTCCCAGCTGCTCAAAGCCCGCAGCCCCAAGGTCACAGGTGTGCTGCCACCTTTCCGGGGACATGCCTGCGGCGAGCCCGGTGTGCAGCTGGCTGAACCCTATGTGGCTGACAGGGACGGGGGGCGGGGGGGAGGCACATTTCTGGTAAATGCTTTTTGTTCCAGCCGACGCTGCCGGGGCCCTTTCTTGCCTAGCCAGCACAGGCTGTAGCGCGCGTGTGTAAGGGAAGGCCGAGACCACAGGCACCCTGTGAGTGCACAGCTGTGTGCCCAGGGACAGGCCAGACCCCGCACGCCCGTGCACCCGTCTTCTTTCCCACAGGAGAGGACAAGAGGGCACCTCCAGCCCCCGCCATCAGCCCTGAGGCGGAAACACGGCTGGGGCTGGAGGTTTTGCAGCGTTAAGTAACTGAGTGACCTGAGTCTGTGAAAGCTCTCTGAATGCTTCCTAATTAAGATGCACGCAGCCCGTCTTCGTCTGAGCGATACGCGCTGTACTCACGCTGGGCAAAGCAAGGCTGTCGCACACTGTAAAGGCGTGCAGTCCTTCAACGTAAATAAAAAACAATTTAAAAAAAGATACAGTTCAAGCTAGGTTGCACTCGCAACTCTGGAAGGAAAAAACAAACCAACAGCTGAACGCACAAGATGTGGCATGCTGGGGACGCTTCGTGTCCTGACACTTCCAAATGTGGCCTGTGACCAGAGCTGCTAACTCCAGCAAGAAGCCTCCTGCCCAGCCTGACCGGAGCTGAGGGGAGATGCCCGGCCCTCAGGGAGCCCTGCCCTGCTGACCAGCTCTTTCATGGCGGGAGGACCTCCCGACGGCGCCGGCCAGCGAGGGCAGCACCGGCACATGGGCTACAGGGAAACGAGCAAGAGAGGCTGGGCCAGCCCAGGCCGGTGCCCCGTACTCACAGTCTCGCCTCTCTGTCCAGGGTGTCCTGGGAGCCCATCCTTGCCTGGGGGGCCCTGAAAGAGAAGCAAAGGAGAGACCTTCGTCCGGCTCTGAGAAGCACCGTCTCCGAGGCAGCAAAACTACTGTTCAGCTTTATAGCACTCAGTCTGGGCTTCTGGCGGGAAAGACCACCGCCCGGTAACCATGGTGACGGTGACAATAAGACGAGAACCACGAAGGGCACAGCCCCCTCGGAGTCCTCACGGCACACCGGAGGCCAGCCAACCTCTGAGTGCTCAGGCGTGTGGCCCACGGCCGGGACCACGCCGGCCAGCCCCAGTCAGACTTCTCCCCGACCCCGCCGTTGCACCCTGTCACGAGGTGGTCCCATCGTGGGGTGTTTCCTGGTGTGGGCAGTACTACAGGGACCATGTGAACCTGCTGTGAGCTGAACCGTGTCCCGCAAAGACACAGTTCCTGCTGCCATCCTAAGCTGGGCCTTTGCCGATGTGACCCAGTGAACCGGATTAGGCTAGGGCGGGCCTAATCCTTGTCAAATGGAGAGACTTGAAGATAGGCAGAGCTGGAGCCAGAGCCTGCGCAATGAGTCCACAAGCCAAAGGGCCCCGGGGATGGGCAGCTGCCCACACCAGGAGACGCTGAGGCGGACGCAAGCCGCAGAAGGGCCGTCCCTGCCTCACCTCCACCTCAGGGGAGCTTCCATTGTGCACAGCCATGAGCTGGGGTCACTTGTTCGGTGGTCCCAGGACGCTCATGCAGTCCCCGGACGGGCAATAAGGGTGGTGAAAGTGAGATGGGACTTGGGGTGAGGCACTCCCCGCAGAGGGCCACAGAGCCCCTCCATCTGCAGCCTCAGCCTGGGGACAGGCCCTCTTTTCGTCGCCCCACCAGAGAGCCCGTGTCTCCGCAGCTGCACCGGCCGCCGCAGGAGCCCAGGGAGCCCTGAGAGAAAGACTGGCATCTCGGCAGAGGCGCCAGCCTGAGGAGGGTGAGCTTTACTTACCGGGGGGCCCTTTGGTCCAGGAAACCCCGTGGGTCCTTGGGCTCCGTTGGGCCCCTGGGGACAGAGAATGGCTAGTGTAAGGGCAGGAGACCCTGCCCTGCCCAGCCGTCCTCCTCGCGTCCCTGGCTGGAGAGCCAGTGTCCCATCTTGCCGCCCACCCCGCTTCTCCAGTCCCCGAGCCCCTCCCCTCACCGAGGAGAGCCAGAGGGCCAAGAGGGCACGCCGAGGGCCGGGTCCCAGGGCAAGGTGGGGCCCCACCCAGGTCTCTGCCATCTCGGCCACCGCCCAAGCCCCAAAGCCAAGGCCAAGCGGACGAGGCCGAGGTGTCCGGACGACAGAGGGTCCCTCTGGGGAACGGCCCGTTAGGGTCTGAGACAACCCTCTCCTTCAGCAGGGCCGCCAGGCAGGGCCGCAGCAGGCCACCTGCTCGCGATGGCCGCGCTGTGCTCGCGATGCTCACCCGTTCTCCGGGAGGGCCGGCCGGGCCATCGCCGCCTGAGTTGCCCTTGGGAGGAAATTGTACACGTATTATTGCGACTTAGCTGAGAGACCCTGGCCCGGGACGGCATCCACACCCCAGCCCACCACCGCTCAGTCAGTCCCAAGGCCACCCTGCCCCAGGGCGATCAGCACCTCCCCGAGCCCGCCCGCCTCCCTCCGTGAGTGGGCCGAGGGCAGCAGGGCTGTGACAGTTCACGGCTGTCTCCCGCCCTCAGACCAAGGCTGCACTCTGGCCCAGACACACGCCAAAATGTCCCGTGCAGATGGAAGTGGGGTCTGTCTCAGGGCACGTCCACGTATCAACGGCAGTTCAGGGAGCTACTAGTTTTCGTGGGGAACGAGAGGGGCTGTGGAGCTCATCACCGCGTTACAGGGTTTACGGTGGCCCTGCTCGTGTGTTCCGGTCAGCTGGGGACGGGGCAGCCCAGCTCCCTGGCCACCCGGAAGGCTCAGCACCGTGGAATCTACTTCAGAGAGCACCCAGACGGGCAGGGTCCTACTGGTGAGCTCGGGTGGAGGAGCGGGCGTCACCCCCACTCCTCCAGGTGCCAGGTGAGCCAGGCAGGGCTTCGCCCTCCAGCTCTTCCCAGAAAACCCAGCCTTCCCACCAGAGCGAGGTGGGCTGTGGCTGGGCTGGCCTCCCAGGGCCACGAAGCTGCTCTGTGCAGTCCCAGCGTGGGGGGACGTCACGCCTCTGCTCTGCCCCCCCCCTCCGGCTGCTCATTCAGCCTGACCTAACACCCAAAGGCTCTGGAGGGGGTGAGCTCTCGTAGACCCCCGAGAAAATGCCTTTATTTTTTCAGCTCGGGAAAGGCAGAGACCACCCTCAGGAGCTGACGCCCGGCAACATCGGGGAGCCACCACAGGGAGCCACCACGGGGAGCCCGGACACGTACCTTGGGGCCAGGCTTCCCAGTGATGCCCCGCGGGCCTCTCTCACCCCTCGGGCCCTGGGCAGACAAGAGAGGAAGGTGGTCAGCTCAGCCCCAGACTCACTGAGCCCCCCCCCCCGCCCGGACCCCCCAAAACATGCCTCCCTTTCTAA